AGTATAAGAGCATAATTCTCATTATAATAGCAGTATTCCTTAAATATTACCTGTACCCCCATCTCACAATAATTATGAATGCCTCTAAGTGACAAGCTTTCAGCAGGGACCTCACGTTCCATCCTTTATGAATAAATAACATCAAAGCAGTGTAATTAGGTGAAGTGAGTTTGTCAGGCCTGAGACAGGAGCAGCTTGCAAAGAACAGTGAGCAGATTAGATTATTTCTTATTACTTATTATTTAGATTACTCATTATTTCTAGTTAATATTTACATAATAGCTCAGAGATCCCAGTCAGGTCAGATCTCACTATGCTAGCTAATGCACAAATAGCTACAAAGACACCGTTCAGAGAGATTGTCTCCATCTCTAAATGACATGCAACTCAATTTGTATTTTCATTTGCTTCATAGCATAGCTCTTACCATCCAGATGTCTCAGAATGTTTTTTTATAGAAATTGGCATTTGTCACGAGAAGACAATAAAAAAATACCACATACTGAGAATGTGGTTTGGCTTAATTCCCATTTCCTCTCTCAGCAGGCCTTTGCTCAAGAACCAGTCATTGTCACAGCCAGCACCTGAAGCCTTCTCAAAGGCCCAGATCACCCATTAACAAATCTGTAGCCACAGGTCAGTTTGATCATCTACTGCGTGGTTTCTGAAGGCTAATTTAGAGCAGTGCTATTCAAACCAAGGCTCAGGAGCTGCAGGTGCCTCTTTAATGTGTCTCCTGCGGCTCTTTGCAGCACATATTAGAACATGAAGCGATTTAATTATTAACCAATCAGGATATTTTTACTTTGATATTGGCCAACTGTAGTTGATAAAATACTTTGTCAGTCACTTTGCGGTGAGAATACATTACTCCAGCTCTTTTAGGTAATGTTGATTTGGCCCTGAGCCACTGAAGTATGATGACTGCTGCTTTAGAGCAAATGTTGAGCACAGTCAAGTGACACCTACATGAATTTGAACTATGACCACTGCAACCATAACTAAAGCCTGGCCGACACCAAAAAGTTAGTTTGATCCTGCTGCATCATCAGGGGTCTGAAAAATATACAACCCTGAGGTATGTAGTTAAGCCAACCTAACCCCTGGTGTAAATAGTGCTAGATTGACGGGGTAGCATTTTAAGTGTAGACAAGCCATTATCATTAGTTCAGAACCATTGATGCTTTGCAGATAAATAAATGATGTTCAGACCTTGCTAAGAGAAACTTCCAATGTAAATAAGATGTAACCACAGCAAGGGATGACAGGATGACAAGAAGTGGAAGCATAGGAGGTCAAGGGTTACGATAAGGATGATTTATGTTCATTGTTATGCAATGCATTAAAGATTAAAGTGTGGGGATTCTGGGCAGAATGATATCAAGGGTAGAGGGTTAGTATGCAATAGCAGATGGAAAAAGTGTGTCTGAGAAGGGACAGCAAGGAGAAGGCTGCGATAGTGTGGTGCAATGTAGAGGTTATGTAGCACAATTAAACAAATTGTATTAGTCAAAATACTTAACATTTTCTTTATCTACCTTTTTTTTCCAGGTCTTCTGTACTAGTCTGCATGCTTGAAGATAGTTCTGCCCTGCCAGAAGGTGGAGGCAGTCCACTGAGACCTTTTGGTGATGCCAGTCCCTGAATGGAAGGTCTTACTGACTCCCACAGCTATCAGCAATGCATGTGTTGTTTGAGCAAAATGTAATCCGTCAAAACTCTTGACTCGAAATCTCAAAAACAAATTTAATAACATACAGCACTAGTACTGGAGATTAGAAATCTGCATAGGCATAGAATTCTTTTAAAAAAATAACAGAAAGAAATCACTGAAGAGAGGGAAATTTCCCTGCAAAGCTAGATGCTTCTGGACTCCCAAAACACTGCAATGCCATATCTTAGAAAGAGAGAACACATTTTTCATTAAGAAAGTACATGAACTGATGCATGAATATTAACCAGTGGACTTGAAGCTCTCTATGGGTATGTCTACACTACAGCACTAATTCGAACTAACTTAATTCGAATTAGTTAATTCGAACTAACAGACGTTAGTTCGAATTAACTTTGATAGGCGCTACACAGGCAAACCGCTAGTTTGAACTTAATTCAAACTAGGCATTAGTCCTCGTAGAATGAGGTTTACCTAGTTCGAATTAAGTGCTCCGCTAGTTTGAATTAAGTAGTTCGAATTAAGGGCTGTGTATCCCCTTAATTCGAACTACTTAATTCAAACTAGGCATTAGTCCTCGTAGAATGAGGTTTACCTAGTTCGAATTAAGTGCTCCGCTAGTTTGAATTAAGTAGTTCGAATTAAGGGCTGTGTATCCCCTTAATTCGAACTACTTAATTCAAACTAGGCATTAGTCCTCGTAGAATGAGGTTTACCTAGTTCGAATTAAGTGCTCCGCTAGTTTGAATTAAGTAGTTCGAATTAAGGGCTGTGTATCCCCTTAATTCGAACTACTTAATTCAAACTAGGCATTAGTCCTCGTAGAATGAGGTTTACCTAGTTCGAATTAAGTGCTCCGCTAGTTTGAATTAAGTAGTTCGAATTAAGGGCTGTGTATCCCCTTAATTCGAACTACTTAATTCAAACTAGGCATTAGTCCTCGTAGAATGAGGTTTACCTAGTTCGAATTAAGTGCTCCGCTAGTTTGAATTAAGTAGTTCGAATTAAGGGCTGTGTATCCCCTTAATTCGAACTACTTAATTCAAACTAGGCATTAGTCCTCGTAGAATGAGGTTTACCTAGTTCGAATTAAGTGCTCCGCTAGTTTGAATTAAGTAGTTCGAATTAAGGGCTGTGTATCCCCTTAATTCGAACTACTTAATTCAAACTAGGCATTAGTCCTCGTAGAATGAGGTTTACCTAGTTCGAATTAAGTGCTCCGCTAGTTTGAATTAAGTAGTTCGAATTAAGGGCTGTGTATCCCCTTAATTCGAACTACTTAATTCAAACTAGGCATTAGTCCTCGTAGAATGAGGTTTACCTAGTTCGAATTAAGTGCTCCGCTAGTTTGAATTAAGTAGTTCGAATTAAGGGCTGTGTATCCCCTTAATTCGAACTACTTAATTCAAACTAGGCATTAGTCCTCGTAGAATGAGGTTTACCTAGTTCGAATTAAGTGCTCCGCTAGTTTGAATTAAGTAGTTCGAATTAAGGGCTGTGTATCCCCTTAATTCGAACTACTTAATTCAAACTAGGCATTAGTCCTCGTAGAATGAGGTTTACCTAGTTCGAATTAAGTGCTCCGCTAGTTTGAATTAAGTAGTTCGAATTAAGGGCTGTGTATCCCCTTAATTCGAACTACTTAATTCAAACTAGGCATTAGTCCTCGTAGAATGAGGTTTACCTAGTTCGAATTAAGTGCTCCGCTAGTTTGAATTAAGTAGTTCGAATTAAGGGCTGTGTATCCCCTTAATTCGAACTACTTAATTCAAACTAGGCATTAGTCCTCGTAGAATGAGGTTTACCTAGTTCGAATTAAGTGCTCCGCTAGTTTGAATTAAGTAGTTCGAATTAAGGGCTGTGTATCCCCTTAATTCGAACTACTTAATTCAAACTAGGCATTAGTCCTCGTAGAATGAGGTTTACCTAGTTCGAATTAAGTGCTCCGCTAGTTTGAATTAAGTTCAAACTAGCGGTTTGCCTGTGTAGCGCCTATCAAAGTTAATTCGAACTAACAGACGTTAGTTCGAATTAACTAATTCGAATTAAGTTAGTTCGAATTAGTGCTGTAGTGTAGACATACCCTATTTCCCTAGCAAAAGAAAGAATGCTTAGACCTTACTTTGTTTTTACCTTCCATTCCTCTACACACTCTCCGCCTCCCGCCGCAAAAGCAGCCAGAGAGAGGAGGAAATCCACATTAGGGAACTGCTTTCTACAGAAGTCTGGCACATCAACTCCTCCAAGCTTTAGAGGTCCTGGAAGAGCCAAGGATGTTGCAGTTTTCTGAGGGCTGACAGAAAGAAGTGCAGGCTGTTGGTTTCTTGGGCAACAGAAACATGATGTATAACCAGCATATGGCTTAGAAATTATGTGGCCATTTTCTCTTTTGTTCTTTACAGTACGTGCACTAATACTGCACCTACTGGCGACAGAAAACTGAAACCAGGAACTGGGAGCTGGCAAGTATCTGACTCCCAGAGAAGAGAGTGCCATCTACTGAATCTTCCCCATCACTGCCTAAAGCAAACCGAAAGCGAGTAGTACTTCTGCGGCACCTTAGCCCTGCTCTACACTAGGGAGTTATTTCAAATTAACCTCCTTTATGTTGAATTAATAAGCGGAGCGTCCACACTACCAAGCCCGTTATTTCAAAATAACGGGCTGGTTACTTCAAAATCTGTATACCTGCTTTCCTCAGGGAATAACACTAATTTCGGAATTATTTCAAAATAGTATTAGCTGCTGCTAATTCAAAATAATTGGCCTCCAGAAGCCTTTCACAGCTACAGTTCTGACCGCTCTGGCCACACCTGCCATCTCCATTGCTCCCCTTCTCCTCAGGAGCTTGAAATTCCAAGCAGCAGAAGGTCTTCTGAAATGTAATGTGAATAAGTGTAAAGTAATGCATGTTGGAAAAAATAACCCCAACTATACGTACAGTATGATGGGGGCTAATTTGGCTACGACAAATCAGGAAAGAGATCTTGGAGTCATCATGGATGGTTCTCTGAAAACTTCCACACAGAGTGCGGTGGCAGTCAAAAAGGCAAATAGGATGTTAGAAATTCTTAGAAAAGGGATAGAAAATAAGACCCAGAATATCTTACTGCCCCTGTATAAAACTATGGTACACCCATATCTTGAATACCGTGTACAGATGTGGTCTCCTCACCTCAAAAAAAGATATTTTGGCCTTGGAAAGGGTTCAGAAAAGGGCAACTAAAATGATTAGGGGTTTGGAATGCGTCCCATATGAAGAGAGGTTAAAGCAACTGGGACTTTTCAGATTAGAAAAGAGGAGACTAAGGGGAGATATGATAGAGGTATATAAAATCATGACTGGTGTGGAGAGGGTGAATAAAGAAAAGTTATTTATTAGTTCCCATAATAGAAGAATTAGAGGACACCAAATGAAGTTAATGGGTAGCAGATTTAAAACTAATAAAAGAAAGTTCTTCACACAGTGTGTAATCAACCTGTGGAACTCCTTGCCAGAGGAGGCTGTGAAGGCTAGGACTATAACAGAGTTTAAAGAAAAGCTAGATAATTTCATGGAGGTTAGGTCCATAAAAGGCTATGATCCAGGGGATAGAAATGGTGTCCCTGGCCTCTGTTTGTCAGAGGCTGGAGAAGGATGGCAGGAAACAAATTGCTTGATCATTGTCTTCGGTCCATCCCCTCTGGGTCACCTGGTGCTGGCCACTGTTGCAGACAGGCTACTGGGCTAGATGGACCTTTGGTCTGACCCTGTAATGGCCATTCTTATGTTCTTATGTTCATGTGGCCAGCTTTGCCAGCTGTGAGAGAGACAGCAGCCAGTGAAGGAGTGATGGATGACCCCAAAGCTGCTTCAGAGCCTCCCATGGTACCACCGCTCCTGCTGCTCCCTCAGCTGCTACTGGCCAGGGTCACAGAAGAGCTCCGGCCTGGACTGGTGGAGATCTTGGACTTCGTTGAGATCTGTGGGGAGACCAGCCTCCAAGATTGCCACACCAGAAAGTGAAATGCAAACTTTTATGGCTAGATTGCCACTAGCCTGACTGACAAAAATCACAACTGGCCCCTAGACCAGGTCCGGATGAAGGTCAAGGAGCTCTGGCAGGTCTATCACAAAGCCAGGAAGCAGAGCGGACACTCTGGGGCGGCATTACAAACATGTCACTTCTGTGAATGGCTTGATGCCAACCTGGGATTGGGCCAGTCATGCCTCCCATTGTCAAGTCTGGCCAGGACATGCCCGGCCTTAGCCTCCACGAGGGTGGGGTAGTGGAGGAGGAGGAAGAGGCGGTGGCAGCCAGCCAGGTGACCATGCCCACAAGCCAGGAGCTGCTCCTCACCTTGGAGCCTCATCTCCCCCTCTAAGGATGTCTCCTAGGCTTCAGATGAACCCAGGGAAGGCACATCAGACTCCCATTGTCAAGTCTGGCCAGGACATGCCCGGCCTTAGCCTCCACGAGGGTGGGGTAGTGGAGGAGGAGGAAGAGGCGGTGGCAGCCAGCCAGGTGACCATGCCCACAAGCCAGGAGCTGCTCCTCACCTTGGAGCCTCATCTCCCCCTCTAAGGATGTCTCCTAGGCTTCAGATGAACCCAGGGAAGGCACATCAGA